GCTTCACGGGGCTTATTGCTTTTATAAAACGGTTATTCCATATACGTAGTAAGGTTTCACAGAATAAAACAAATAAAGTGTAATGATATAAATAAAAACAGTATTCTTCCACCAAACAATGTAGTTCCCCAGAAACAGTTGTGGTTCCAACAAAGTGGTTGCAACACAGAGAAGTAAACAAAGCTGTATGTTTGTAGTGTAATTTACAACAGCTTCGAACGCGGCTCAACCAATCAGAATCAAGGACCGGAACTATCCATTTTAGAAGTTGTTTTTAACACTGATAATAATAAGAGATGTTTCTTAAGCACCAAATCAGCATATTAGAATGATTTCTGAAGGATCACGTGACACTGAAGACTGGAGTAATGATGCTGAAAATTCAGCAGAAATGAGTTACATTTTAAAATATATTCAATTAGAAAACAATTATTTTAAATTATAATATTTCACAGTATTATGGTTTTCACAGTATGTTTGATCCAAAAAATGCAGCCTTCATGAATATAAGAGTCTTCTTTACCGATCCCAAATTTTTGAGAGGTAATGTAGGTGCAATTACGGTAAAGCAGCTAGCAAGCGTCATTAAAAATCATCATTACGTTTCTATTATATGTGTTCTTTGATCCCAAGATTTGCTTTGTTTGTTATATCTGGAATCCAGAATGAAATACGTAGGCTGTATGGTGACAATTTACTGGAACTGATATTTGTTCACCCATTCTTCTGATCTACATTCGAGTTTCCAAAAGAAACAAAAGCACTCTTTCAGATTATGCTATCACCCACATCCTCTAGCAAAAAGATTTTAAAGAAAGAGTAACAGCCTTTATCAGATGTGGCAGGCCAGTGTAAACGTGCAAAGGGATGGCGTAAATTGCCAGAGCTTTGTCGCAACCCACAGAGAGTGGAGTGGAAGGAAGTGATGAGCTCATCAGAGTGGGCCACAGCAGCAGGGGATGGAGAGGCAGGAACAGACCCAGGTCTGTGGAGCACCAAAGTAGTCTCACACTGATAATGATGCCCTGTTTTTTGTCAAAAGATCTGTGCTAGCATACTGACCACTGACTATGGTAGTGCTTTTCGTAGTAAGTGTCCCCAAAAAGTATTAGGATACTTTAGGCACACTTTAAAATGAATGAATGTCATTGTAATTATGTAACAAAATATCGATCCAAGTGGCCAAAGTTTTGGGGGGGAAAAAAACATAGCACAAACCATAAAAGTCAGTTTGTTAACATTAGCTGTATTAGGTATCATGACAATGACCACAATTAACTGTACTTTTACCACATTTATCAATCACATTCATTTTCATTTAAAAGCTACTCTTGTTTATGAATAATTTATGTTGGATCATTAGAAATTAAGGTTAATTTATACAACCTGTTAAATTTAAAAATTGCTCACTACCAATCAAAAGTGCTGAGTCAATAAGACTTTTTTATAAAGAATTTAATTTTATTCAGCAAATCTACTATTTTTTTTTTCTTTACTTTACTTTACTTTTTACTTTACTTTACTATCACTTTCGATCTATTAAATCGATACTAAGGTGCATTTTATTTACCAGTGGTTTTGTTTATTTAACAACAATACTAATAATAATGCGTACAATATGCATTGAATTGGACGAATAACCTTTGTTAGCGAGTAATTGTGTAGGATAGAACTATTTTTCTGCTCATCTGAACACACGCAAATGTTGCAAGACAGAACCAATCAATCACAGAGAGCATTCACTCACTGCTGACAGTGCATTCAAACAGGGCTGCGTTTCCCATAAGTATCATAAGAAAGCATTAAAGCTTTTGGGAATGGCAGCCCTGAACAATGCTTATCAGAGAACAGAAATAAAAACATAAATGTTTGAGTTATTTCACAGTAAACAAATTGAAATTGTAGCCTACATAGTTTGTGCAATTACAATTATTTAAATTGAACGTTGAAAGATAATATTGATCATGTAAAGGTTGCATTTTATGCATGCAACAGCCATTCACTGGCAGTCCCTAATGGCAGTACAAAATATTGCACTAAATCAAAAGTTCAAATGTTACAAATAAGTTAGAATATTAATGTTGTAATACTGGTAGCACTAATATAAAAATGTGATGATATATGTTACAAAAAAGTAACAATTTTGAAATACGTTGATGGTTGTATTTTTTTGTATTTGATCTCAGTATTCCTATCAGTGTTGTATAAGGTTTTTTTTATGCATAATAGTAACCCTAGAATGTGATCAAACAGTTTAAAATAGCTGGGCTAAGATATATAACAATTTTTAAGACTGCAGAAATATGTTAATTCAGTATACACATTATCCCACCGGTTACAATTGTGACTGACCATAAAAAACAATTTTTCACACACTTTTCCCCCCCAAATAAAAAATAAAAAATAAATTATTGATTATTTCAAAGGGTTACTAATGACGCATCATTTGGATATTTTCATGTCTGGGAAAAATTTGGGATTAAACGGGTTAAAATGCGTTTTAAACAGAGTTAAGTGGTTTTCATTACCCATTTTACTCTTAGTAATTTAATAAATTTCATAATTTAAAAGTTTAGTGCAGAAGTATCGAATCGGTATCGACGATACTGCCTTGAAAAATATCGGTATCGTATCGAAAACAAAATAAGGGGTATCGCCCATCCCTAGTATTCGCACACCGTCTGAAACGCGTATCTGTGTGTGTGTGTGTGTGTGTGTGTGCGCGCTTTGCACGTGTGCGGCAGAACGGAAGAGACGCTGTGCGAGATGCGGCTTGTGTGCGCGGGCTTCAGGTGCGAGTCAGACAGCAAGACGAGATGGCAAAGAGTTGTTTTCTGCAACTTATTGCACTTAACTCTTTGTAACGTCAAGCTATTCTCTGCTATATGCATCGAACTAAAACTTTTACCTTTTGCAACGTTTTGATTTCAGTAGCCTATTATTAAAATGATTCAGATATCGCACGCCGTTGTGATATGCATATTGCGATATTTACATTAGCGATATTTCGATATATCGTGCAGCCCTAGTTTGTAGTGTAATTTACAATAGCTTCGAACGCGGCTCAACCAATCAGAATCAAGGACCGGAATTATCTGTTTTATAATTTTATTTAAAATGTCCTTGCTGAATCTTATTATGTCACCAAAAAAATTATATTCAAAATAAATACTAGTCTTTTGAACTTTCTATTCATAAAGCATTCTGAAATGTACGTTTCCACAAAAATAAACGGCAACCTTTTTCAACATTGATAATAATAAGAAATATTTCTAGAGCAATGAATCAGCATATTAGAATGATTTCTGATGGATCATGTGACACTGAAGACTGGAGTAATGGCTGCTGAAAATTCAGCTTTGCATCACAGGAATAAATTACATTTTAAAACATTTTTTTAATTGTAATAAATATTTCACAATATTGCCATTTTATTATATTTTTATCAAATAAATGCAGCCTTGGTGAGCATGAGAATCTTAACATTTTTGTTATTGACACCATTGATACTTAATGCATATAATAATGTTAACAAATTAAACCTAAATTGTTACCAAAGAAGTCTGTTACATTATACAATCATATATAAGACAAAATGGCCATGAAACCAAACAAAAAAGTTAAAAGATAAAAATTCAGACACTTTCTGGTTGTCAAATACAAGCAATGATCTGCACCTCTAGTTATTTTCGTGAACACCTGTGTGAACTTGAGAGGAACTGACTTAATAAATAAAGTAGGACCGGGAACATGTAGTGAGGAAGTTAAAAAGGTCAATTTTGTTTTCAGTTTAACTGTAAATTCCTTAAATAGCATTAACGGTCATTTCATTCTTCACTAGCCAGTTACATCCACAACCCAACCCTCCCTTACAATTCAGTGTACAAACTTCTGCCATGTTGTTTGAAGCTAAACGAACGTCAGCACAACAGAACCGTGTGAAGAGAGTGGGTTACAAAGACATCGAGACATCCTCCCCGTGTCCTCGCTCGTTTGTGTGCCAGTGTTCAAAGCAAGCAGCTAATGAAAAGAGGTCTTGTGTGCAAAAAAACAGGAAGGCCCAGGGGAGAGAGCATTAGGCTAATCACATTGAAAATGGAGAAACAGAGGCAGCTTGCTGCAAAAAGTGCACTCCAAGTGAAGCCAGGCCGCTTGTAATGAACACATTAGAGTTTCAGTGAAAAATGGCTTTTATCCACTGGTGGACATTACCATCAATCACATGCACATTTACTGAGAGACAGACAAAGATGCAGAGAGAAAGGCGGCGACAGAAATGGCTGGGTTATGGGATAGTGGTGTCAAAAAGACAAAAGAACTCCCAAAACTGAAAGATGGAAAAAATGTATTTGCCCCAGAGGTGATAAAACTGACAAAAACTCCAAACTGCACATTTCAGAATCTATGAAATTAAAAGGAAAACACAACTTGAAATCACAAGGTGATCAAATTCACAAATCTGTGCCCACAAGGGTTCTATGCTCTGATTGGCTGAGAGGTTTTCTGTTTGTGACATGGGGCACGAAGCAGGAGAAATGTAGCACACTTCCTGGCTTGAGGGAAACCGTGGTAACATCATGGTCCAAAACCCTCTCTGAATGGTAAACATTTTATATGCTTGACAGCAGAAGAGTCATTGCAATAGAAGGTGAATCAGTACATTATGCATGGCCATGTTCTATTTAAAAAGCAAACACACTCAAACAAGAATACCTGAACGCTGACAACTGTGAAATTGCCCAAGTGAATTTACAAATTTTAAGCTATACTGAAATAATGAAACCATTTCTATTGTTTACGAAGGTTGAAAACACATTGAAAATCTGATTAAAAATCTAATTTAAACCTGGTAATAAACAGAAAGTTTCAGGTTTTGAAAACTGTAATATTATACCTTTCCAAATTTTAGGGTTGTTATGATTTTTCTGAATGTTTTTGAAATAATTCTTATGTTCACCAAGGCTGTAAATATACTGTAAAAACAGTAATATTGTGAAATATTGTTTTCAATTGTAATATTTTAATATAATATTTAAAAAAATAATAATAATGTTTTCATAATTTTCATGATTGTTTGGTGAATAAAATTGTTACTTGTGTGTGCATGTGAGTTTTATTTTAAAAAATGTTTTTCCAAGATTCAAAAATGCACAGTTTGAATTTCTTTTATTACCTCATTTACCAATATATATTATTAATAGGGGTCACTATATAATTTAATGTTATGACTGATAATCAATATGATGGACATTATTATAAATGCACATGTTTATTTGATAATATGTCTAATATTTGCCTAACAGGACTAATAATAAAAAAAAAAAACTAAATTGGCTGATACCAATATGGCAATCAATTGGTATGTGCATGTGCATGGTATTGTGCATGACCATTAATATCATAAGCGACTTAAATAAACGTACTAAAAAAAAAAACTGTACCTGATAACCCTCAGTCTTCTTCTGGCACCACCTGAGCAGAGCATTCCTCTTGGATCCACCATATTCCCTGGCTAACGCAGACAGAGGGTCCTTCCGTTCCTCTCTAAAGAGACATCAATCACTTTAACAACACAGTTCCTTTGTATTGGATTCAACTTTAATAGCAAAAAACATCCTTCAGTTTTGAGCGGAAATTCTACCAAGATGCATTGGCCTGATGATGGATGCACCAACTTTAAGATCCTTCTGACACTGGCACTATAACAATTTATAAATTGAACATTGATTCTGTATTGTAAAAATAGATCATCTTACCTACACAGAAATGTCAACTCACTGCACTGAAGAGTGATTATTTTAAAAATTGCAGTAATTAGCAAATTGACAGTGTCCCATTGACATACATGGCATACAACCTGTAATTCTGAAAAAAAAAAAAAACTGACACTATATAATAATAAAAAAAGAAATAAAATAATAAAAAATAATAATGCTAATATTTTAATAATATAATAATTATTTGTTGTTGTTTTTGTTTATTTATTTTATACATAGTTTCCATCAGCCAGCACTTGAGTAAAACTAGCTACTATCAGAAGTTGGTTATAGCTGGATTTTTCCAGCAAGGAAGTTAATACTACAACCAGAAGGAAATGCTCTGATAATAAAGGAAAGTGCAGAATGATTCGTCTTCCTCCAACGGCCTATTCAAAAGCCACGGTGGCCCCACGGTCAGGTTTCAGGACAGGCAAATGAGTGACATCCATTATTGAAACTGAACTGTCAACACCGCATAGAGCAGACAGAGACAGAGACAGAGATAGAGTGTGAAACATAGAGACATCTGGCAAACCTGACAGCGAGAAAGAGTCTTCTAGAAAGTCAACAAAAGAAGAGCCACAGCGGAGATAAACATAAAAGAGACGGAGGCAAATAGAAAAACAAGGAAGGTCCGCCGCTTACCGTAAACGTCCTCGTGTGGTGGGTGTGACGGAGGCGGTCGGGGAGGAGCAGTTGGACGACAAAGACAGCTGGGGAGAAGACGAGCCTAACGCGATGACTGACGATGGCGTTGATGCATCTGTTACCGACAAATCTCTCTTTAACTCTTCGCTGCTTCTGCGAGAAACTGACAAGTAGAGGATGCATGGACAGTTTGATAATTATTACAAAATCTGTGTGCTGTTAAAGGAATAGTTCACCCAAAAAGGAAATTTTTCTGAAAATGTATTCCTCCACAGGCCATCCAAGATGTAAATGAGTTTGCTTCTTCATCAGAACAGATTTGGAGAAATTTAGCATTACATTACTTGCTCACCACTGGATCCTCTGCAGTGAATGGGTGCCGTCAGAATGGGAGTCCAAACAGCTGATAAAAACATCACAATAATCCACAGGCAATCCACACAACTCACTGCATCAGTTAACATGCTGTGAAATAAAAAGCTGTTTGTAAGAAACTAATCCAGATGATTTAACTTTAAACCGCCACTTCTCGCCAAAATACGAGTCTTCTATTCATAATATTGCTTGCTCCAGTGAAAAGGTCATGTCGTCTGAATCAGGAAAGAAATATGCACAGATCAAGCACTGTTTACAAGCAAAAACATTCCAAACCAGTTCTAAACAAATATGTTGATGGATTGTGATGTGGACAATAGGAGATGGACTTTTTCACTAAAGGAAGCATTATTATGAATTATGGACTGGTTAATTTGCCGAAAACTGACGGTTTAAAGTTAAAGCACCTTGATGGATTTGTTTCTTGTTTGCAGCTTTTCGCTTCACAAGGCATGAACTGATCCAGTTCTGTGGATTATTTGTATATTATTGTGATGTTTTTATCAGCCGTTTATTAAACTCTCATTCTGACGGCACCCATTCACTGCAGAGGATCCACTGGTTAGCAAGTGATGTAATGCTAAATTTCTCCAAATCTCCAAAATCTTACATGGCCTGAGGGTGAGTAAATTTTCAGCAAATTTTAATTTTTGTGTGAATTATTCCTTTAATGTCACAACACACAGTGGGTATGTTGAATAACTGTATAGTCGTCGAGTACTTGACTAGTTGGTGCAGAACGAGTACTCTACAGGTCTAAACATACCTGATATGGACTTAGTCGAATCTATGTTTGTCACCCTCTGGAGGCTGCAGCTGGGGCGTGTTACAGGTGAGGTCCGGAGGAGGTGGTCAGCTATTGAATTACATAAAAACACACATATAATCATGACAAAGAACAACAGGCTATATGTGGCATGATTAAGCTTGTGCTCTTCTAAAATAAATATCCTGCTTCCTTCTCAAGGCCTGGCACACAATCTCAGAGGTCATTAACTGCAAATGTTAAGCCTGAGGGAAACAGTACAGCACGATTACACATGACCTTTAACTCTGAGTTCGCCTCTGGATAACTAGATCAAACCAGTGTGAGGGAAGACCAAAAGATCAAGGAGTTAGATTTCAAGTGTGACTAACGTCAGCCCACCTGGTATGCTCAGGTCCGTGTAGCTCGGCCTCTTGTCCAGCATTGACGACAGAGGTTTGGCTGAGCTTATGGTGTGCCTCTGTAAAATACAGAAAAAAAAAACATGCATAAAGGCACAACAGGGCTGGGCAATATAGCTACAATAAATAATAAATATTGGATTCATTTAGATTTTTTTTCTTTTATTATTTGCTCTGAAGTAGCTGACCAGGGTGATTTCGAAGGAACCTTAATTTCAACCAAACCATTTTTGCCAAGCAGATTTAAAATAATAACAATAGGGAATAATTAAGAATAATTTATAATTAATAATTTTGTTATTTTAAATTGGATTTATATGCTATTATAGGATGTATTAATATTTTGCATTAGCTTTAATTTTTAGATTTTTAGTTTTCATTTTTATATTTTTTATTAAAAATTTTCAAAAATTTAAATAATTTATAATTAATAATTTTGTTATTTTAAATTGGATTTATATGCTATTATAGGATGTATTAATATTTTGCATTAGCTTTAATTTTTAGTTTTCATTTTTATATTTTTTATTAAAAAGTTTCAAAAATTTCATAATTGTGTTATTTTTATACATTTTAAAATACATACTGGTTTTTATATATTTTATTAAGCTATTTTATTTACTTCAACTTGTAGGTTTTTCACTTAATATTTATATATTACTTTATTTCAGCTTTCTTTCAATTAATACAAATATTTGTAATAGTTTAAGTTCAAAATAATAATTGATAATATGGACCAATTTAACAATACACAGTATGAAACATGTAAATACATGGTACATATTGTAATTTAATAATAAAACATGAAAAATACCAAACAAAGGCACAATTCTGAGTTTTAAAGCTATTCTCTGAAACGGGCAGTTTCAACTGATTAAAAGAAATTAATAAAAACTTAATGACACAAAAGCCGTTTTGTTACTAAAGTTTAAAACACAGACACTATTGAAAATTCATGAGACCAGTAAAGATTATGAGACTAGTCTTATGACAGTCTGTAAGAATTAAAACGTGATGTTGCTTCATTATATATTCCCAGCAAAATAATTTAGAATATATCATATACAATATATAACTCAACCCTAGCTCGCAGCACAGCTTTAATAAATTCAATTAGGTTATGTTAGAGCTCAGGTGGTCAACAGTTAGGTGTGAGTTGATGTTTTTAAATCACTGTTGTTTTTCATTGACTAACCAGATAAAAAGTACTGTCCAGGCCAAGAAAAATGGTTGGTAATTACCATTTCTAGAAAAATTCTAAGGCTCTTTCTTGTGCCCCAATAACACAATTTCACAAATACATGCTTAAGCAAGAACATATTGTCTGTCTGCTAGAAGAACATGTAACACAACTGACAATATCAAAAACCTTATGCATGTTATATCTCGCTGTGATACTTTGGGACAGTGTTTACGACAATATTTCTAGCAATATAACAATATTTCATTGTCACCATGATACTAGGGTGCTGTGGGTGATTGCAAGGTGTTATTTTACTGGCCCAAGTCAAAAGCCCACAACAAGAGTCTATGATTTTCTGGTCCTCTGATTTAGATCCCATCCTTCAGTGCCAGTCAATAGGATTTTTTCCATGTTTTATCTAAAATTGGATATTCAAATGTAAACCTCCTCCTCAACAAATGGCATAATTTCATGTCCATGGCACATCATGTTCCGAACAAGCACCAATAATAAATTCAAATTCACCACAAATAGTCTACAAGATCTCTGTGCCTTGCATATGTTTTGTACTCAAAGTACGTCAAACTGCCTCATTTTTTCTTTCCTTACAAAAACATCCTGTTTTGGCACATTTTGAGGAAAAAGAGCAATGCGGCAAAGGACATCCGTGGAGGACGAGGGTGAGAACAAGAAGGAAAGCCCAACTCCAGCTCCACGCACAGCAGGTCTGGAGATCTCATTTGACAGACAGGGGTGTTAGGTCAGAAAATCCCCATAGAGAAGAATGCAGACGTCTGCTAAAGTGATCAGAGAGACCCATATATCCCACTGCAAATTCAGGTTACTTTTAAGATGAGGTTTTTTACAATGGCTTTAAATATATTCAGTCATATTTATGACAAATACATAACCATTCAAAAGTTTGGGGTCAGTATGATTTATTTATTTATTTGTTAAAGAAATGAATACTTTTATTCAGTGAGGATGCACTAAAATGATCAAGTGTGTCATTAAATACATTTAAAAAGATCTATTTCAAATAAATGCTGTTCTTTTGAACATTCTATTCATCAAAGCATCCTGAAAAAATATATCAGTTTCCACAAAAATACAGTGCCAACCACTAATATTGGCACCCTTGGTAAATATGAGCAAAGGTGGCTGTGAAAATAAATCTGCATCGTTTATCTTTTTGATCTTTTGTTCAAAAAAATTCAACCTGTCATTGAAGTAAAACAATTGAAATTGGGGGGAACTCACATTATGAAATAAATGTATTTCTCCAATGCATGCTGGCCACAATTATTGGCACCCATAGAAATTCTTATGAGTAAAATATCTCTGAAGCATCCCATTCATATTTACAATTTTTTTAGCACACCAAGGTGACTAGGAGCATGAAATTCTCCAGCCATGACTTCCTGTTCCACAGGATTATAAATAGAAGGACACAAAGGCCAAATTCCCTTAATCATCCATCACAAGAAGTAAAACCAAAGAATATAGTTCTGATGTGCAGAACAAGATTGTTGAGCTTCACAAAATAGAAAGTGGCTGTAAGAAAATAGCTAAAGCATTTAAAACCCCATTTCCACCATCAGGGCAATAATTAAGCAGTTCCAATCAACTAAAAATATTACAAATCTGCCTGGAAGAAGATGTGTGTATATATTGTCCTAATGCACAGTGAGGAGGAGAGTTTAAGTGGCCAAAGGCTCTCCAAGGATCACAGCTGGAGAATCGCAGAGATTAGTTGAGTCTTGGGGTCAAACAGCTCGTACATCACCACATGTTTTTCGGGAAGGTTTCAAGAAAAATCCTCTTCACTCATCCAAAAACAAACTCCAGCATATTCAGTTGTCAGACATGATTGGAACTTAGAACGGGACTGGCTTCCATGGTCAGATGAAACTTAAAGGGGTCATATGATGCGATTTCAAGTTTTCCTTTAAGAATTTCTAGGGGTGCCAATAATTGTGGCCAACATGAACTAGAAAAAAAACATTTATTTCATAATGCGAGTTTCCCCCCACTTTCCATTGTTTTACTTCAACGATAGGTTAGAATTTTGTGCATTTTTTTTAAATGCAAGATCAAAAAGATAAACGATGCAGATTTATTTTCACAGCCACCTTTGCTCATATTTACCAAGGGTGCCAATATTAGTGGAGGGCATTAAGCAGCACAACTGTTTTCAACATTGATAATAAGAAGAAATGTTAATTTGGCAGCAAATCAGCATATTAGATTGATTTCTGACGGATCATGTGACACTGAAGACTGGAGTAATGGCTGCTGAAAATAATGAATGAAATAATAAATTAATTACATTTTAAAATATATTAAAATTTAAAATGGTTATTTCAAATCGTAACAATATTTCACAATACAGCTGTTTTTGCTGTATGCAGCTTTGGTGAGTATAAGAGACCTCTTTCAAAAATTATTAGAAAATCTTACTGACCCAAACATTTGAACAGTAGTGTAACTATTTTAAGTATTTTGTTTTTAGTATTTTGTTTTTGCAATGATGTCAAGCTTCAAACTTATTTGTTATGAATACTCTTATTTTATAAAATAAAAATACTAAAAAAGTAATAAGCTAAAAAAAAAAAATTATTACTACATAATTATTGTTAATAGATATGAAACATTTGGGGGTAGAATAGGCCAAAACTATATTGTGCATTTAGCATATGAATATTTCCATCCTTTCGTTAATTCTAATTGTTCATACCTGCATAGGAGAGACAGCAGCGGCTGGAGGGGTTTTGATGGGACTGGGACTGAGAGGCGTTCTGGGAATAGCGGCAGCAGCAACAACAGGAACAGCAACAGCAGCATCAGCGGCAGGACTGGCTGGAACAGGACCTGTATATAGAGAAACAGATGGAAAAACAGACAGTTTATGTGACTTATAAAAGGAAATGGAAAAGGTTTTATATATTTGCATGCCAACCAATCAAATGTCATTTAAATCATATTTTTAATCAAAAGCCCCTTGGGCACACTTGTGAGGTCCTTGTGAGGTTTGAACAACCTACAACCTTTTGGCAACCAGTCTAGATCTATGAACACTAGGCCACAACACCCTAAATGTGAGCATGTATCATCAAGCATAAATCTGCATGAATTTATGAACCTTGTGAGGCGTTGTCGAAGCTCTTGATGAGTGTTTTGACGGTGGGTGAAGGTTCAGAGGAAGTGGAGGACCGTCGGCTCAGGCCCATCCCCTGCCTCAGCGCGGCCAAATCTCTTTCCACGGCATTCATATAATTAAACACTCGGCCACGCTCCTCTTCCTGCCTGTAACGCAAGACACACACTGATGCTCAAATCTCCTGCATATGCAAATACACTCCTGAACAAAATCTTAAGACCGGGGGAAACATTACAAGTATTCGCATTTTGCGCTGGTGGATCGTAACCAGGTTGTAAGTACTGCTTCAAAATGCCAAAAGAAGAAACAGGAGCAAGAGACAAAAATAGAGAGTAGGCGATTTATTGAAAACTGCATTGAAACGCAAACAGGCTGTTCATCAGCTGATCAAAAGTTTAAGACCATAGCCTTAAAAAGTTAAAAACTGCGAAAAAAATATGGCTTTCATGTCTTTGTCCTTCAAGCAGTCACACTGTCATGATCTCCTGATGGCAAAGGCAAAAAGGCTTTCTGTCTTTGAACGTGGCAGGATTGTTGAGCTGCACAAGCAAGGGCTCTCGTAACGCACCATCGCTGCAGAGGATGGACGCAGTAAGACAGTCATTTTACATTTCTTAAAAGATCCTGAGAGTTATGGGACAAAGAAGTCAAGTGGTAGACCCAAAAAAATTTCACCTGCACCGAGCCGGAGGATCCGACGTGCTGGCCGTGAAGACACAGGCCGATCCTCGACCCAAATTAAGGCCCTTACTGATGCGGACTGCAGTCCAATAACCATAAGACGGCATCTGCGAGAGAAGGGTTTAAAGAACAAAATAGCCAGCCACCGTTTGACGCCCCTGCACAATCTGAAGCTCCATTTTCCCACTGAAGGAAAAAGCACCCCAGATCATGATGAAGCCTCCTCCACTGTGCCGCGTAGAAACATCTCCAGTGGGATATCCTTGTCATGCCAGTAACGTTGGAAGCCATCAGGACCGTCCAGGTTAAATTTTTTCTCGTCAGAGAATAAAACTTTCTTCCACCTTTCAATGTCCCATGTTTGGTGCTCCCTTGCAAATTCCAAACGGGCAAGTTTGGGGCGTGGGAGGAGACGTGGCCTTTGAAGACGTTTTTTGTTCTTTAAACCCTTCTCTCGCAGATGCCGTCTTATGGTTATTGGGTCATGACAGTGTGACTGCCTGATGGACAATGACATGAAAGCCATATTTTTGCGCCGATTTGAACTTTTTAAGGCTATGGTCTTAAACTTTTGATCAGCTGATGAACAGCCTGTTTGAGTTTCAATGCAGTTTTCAATAAATTGCCTACTCTCTATTTTTTGTCTCTTGCTCCCGTTTCTTCTTTTGGCATTTTGAAGCAGTACTTACAACCTGGTTGCGATCTACCAGCGCGAAATGCGAATACTTGTAATGTTTCCACCGGTCTTAAAATTTTGTTCAGGAGTGTATTTGCACAAAAATAATCACACAACCTGTCTACATCCCTGTTGTCACAACACACTGCATTGTAAATTATAATATATATATATATATATATATTTTTTTTTTTTTGTGTGTGTCAATTAATTATAAATAGTGTTTAGTGACCATTTTGTCATATGACTTACTCTCCAGGTCAGAAATTATGAGGTTGTCATGGAGCTTGACAGCACGATGCTGCTCGACTTCATCCTCTAGCTCAAAGATGGTCTCCTTCATGTCAGCGATCTCAGTGTCCTTCTCCTCTAGCTCAGAGCACTGCTGCTCCAGGAGCCGCTTCTGCTCTGCTAACTGTGCCTGGACATCCAGTTTTCAATAAATTGCCTATTCTCTATTTTTTGTCTCTTGCTCCCGTTTCTTCTTTTGGCATTTTGAAGCAGTACTTACAACCTGGTTGCGATCTACCAGCGCGAAATGCGAATACTTGTAATGTTTCCACCGGTCTTAAAATTTTGTTCAGGAGTGTATTTGCACAAAAATAATCACACAACCTGTCTACATCCCTGTTGTCACAACACACTGCATTGTAAATTTTCATGACATCTTCTCTTACTTCTTGCTCTTTAGTTCATCCAGCTCTTTGTTCATCTTCTCATTTTTCTCCTGAGCTTCCTGCAGGCGGCGTCGCAGGTCTCCGATCTCCTCCTGAGCTTCTGTCTTGATGTCGTTGGCGATTATGACTGCTGTTTGCAGATCAGCCTGGAACTGACGCCACTCAGCTGATTCCTCCTGTTAGTGACAGGTGTCAATTCAATTATTTTGGAAAATGAATGAATGAATGAATAAATTATATAATAAATGAAACGGTGTGATATACACAGCACAAAGGAAGCAAATAAAAAGGGAAAATTTACCCGCAATTTTCGGTGAAGAATCTTAATCTCTTTCTCCATGTCATATTTCTGATCATGAAGTTTTTGGATGGAATCTGAGGTGGAAAAATGCCAGAAATAAATACAGATTTATAATGAAAGCTAAATATCATTAATGTGTTCCTGAAAGTTAATTTTATTTAATTTTATTCAAGTACCTAATTTTCATTTTATTTTTATACATTTATCTTCTAATCTTTTCATTATTTTAAAGACTATAATTTATTTGTATTGATGTTATGGTAATATTGCATTTAAAATGATCAAGTATGTTGAAATTGAAAGCTAAAGAAAAGTCAGGTCAAGACAATATCTGTATTGTCTACTCCAATAGCTCAATGACGCCTCTATGTGGACAGAAGCCTGAATAACCACAAGATAATGAAAACAAAACATATTTGGTCAACACCAGACAAATTTGTTTGTTATACATTTGTAACAACAATGTTGGCAGTTCATCCTCTAGCTCAAAGATGGTCTCCTTCATGTCAGCGATCTCAGTGTCCTTCTCCTCTAGCTCAGAGCACTGCTGCTCCAGGAGCCGCTTCTGCTCTGCTAACTGTGCCTGGACATCGTCACGAAACGCTCGGAACTCACCCTCAAGCTTTAGCGAACACAAAGATACACATTAGCCGAGATACATGTTGGAAAATATACAGTACACTGCTACTACTACCTGGAGGATCAATAACTGTGCTTTAAGCATATGCTACAGCCTGTTAAAAACTTGACAACACAATGCTAGGGTGATCTGGGTGGTTGCCAGGGTATTGTTACATGACTGCTAGGACTTCTGAGTGGTCATAGCATGTTGCTAGGAACAGTGTTGGGGAAAGTTACTTTTAAAAGTAATGCATTACAATATTGCGTTACTCTCTAACAAAGTAACTAATTGCATTACTTAGTTACTTTTTATGGAAAGTAATGTCTTATGTTACTTTTTCTCATCTGGGCTGGGCTCATTTTTATTCATTTTGAGGAATACTGAATCTGTTTTTGTGCAAGTGCGTTGAGTAAATGCATGTTCACATTTAGTCTAGAACTACAGTAACATCATGTTTACACAGTGCACACAACGCCTCTGCATTTACTCCCGATTTCTCTCAACATGAGGACAGGAGAGCTCTCAGTCAATACATGGGGAAACAAAGTAACTGGTACTACTTATTTGAAAAAGTAACCTTGTAAATTAAAAAATAAAGCGTTACTTTACTAGTTACTTGAAAAAAGTAATCTGATTACGTAACTCATGTTACTTGTAATGCGTTACCCCCAACAATGGCTAGGAACTGGTTGTTCAATATCTACTCTCAAAGCATAAGTTGGAAACTCTTGTTTGACTTTCAAGAAGTTGAAATTTCATCCAACTACATATTACCTATGCTAATGCCTGTTCAAAACTTGATATCACAATGCTATGGTGATCTGGGTGGTTGCTAAGGCATTATGTTGTTGCTAGGTATTCTGAGTGGTTGTTAACATGTTACCAGGCACCAGATGTTCAACATCAATGCTCAAAACAAATGTTGGGAACTCTTTGACTTACAAGAAGTTAAAATTTCATCCAGCTACATAGCTAATATGCTAATACTATGCTAACGTCCTAAGACACTAAAGTAGGCATTTTCAGACAGTGTTATAGCAGGTGTAAAACATTAAGTAACAAGGTAGTATGTCTGAATTCATAAAACAGTAGGCGAAACGTAGTACCTATTCAGACAGTATGAGTCTCAGACGCAGCTTAAACTTACTTAAGATAATCAAAGGTATGAGTTATCCGAGTGTGTCATTTTCACCTTGCTAATTGCCTCCTGGAGCTGGGCAGCTTCACTGCATGTGTGCCCCAGTTCCTCTTGTAACTGAGCTGCTTTGGCCTCTGCTCGCTCTTTGTCTAATCTCTCGCTGTCCAGCAGGTGGCGTATGTCTGTCTTATCCCCTGCGTTGTGGATGGAGAGGAGCTGGGCAACTCTCTGCCTCTCTTGCTCAAGTTGGATTCTGCAGCGATTCAGCTCCACCTGCTCCCCTTCGGACACTACCCTCAGTGCTTCCAACTCCGCTTTGGCAACTGCCCGCTCCCTCCGCTCCATTTCCACAGCTCTCTCCGCCACATGGACACGCTCCTTCAATGCTCCCATCAGGCCTTGGGCTTCTGCATTCTCCTGTTCTGCCATCTTGAGAGCACTGCTTAGTTGTTGCTGAACACCCAGCAGCTGCTCTCGCTCAAAACGTGAGTCCTCGTTCAGCTCAGAGTAGCGTCTTTCCAGTTCCACGTATCGGCCGCTTTTGGCATCTTCATCATCCTTGGCGTAGGCCACCCGATGCTCATCAAGCAGGCCTCGGAAGTAGTCCAGCTGTCTTCCGTACAGTTCCAGACGCTCCCCTTGTTGACAGAGGGAGTCAACCAGAATGGCACGCTCCTCGCCCAGGCGTTCATTCTCTGTGGTCAGCTCTTGTGTGATTTGCTGCAGGTCAGCAAGCTCCTGCAGAGTGGCCTGGAGTTCTTCTGCGGTGCTGTGCTGGTTCTCCTCCATTTGATGGATGCGCTCAGTCAGGCAGGCCATGGAAACTTCACTGGTGTTCCCGCTGCTGCCCCTGCGGGAATGTTCCCGGCTCGGTGGCCCTCCTTCTGATTCAGAAGAGGATCCACATCCAGAGGGCGCGTCCAGAGCATCATCGCTGGAGGTGATCGGCTGGTAGGCCTCACTGCACTCACTGTCCAGTGCATCAGGAGAGCCTACACGTCTCGTTTCTGAAAGCAGGTCCTCGGTAGAGCCTTGGGCAGAGCCTTCTGC